TTGATTGCAATATAGTCAGGATAAGACAGCATAAGGAGTATTTCCCCTAAAAAATGTTCTGTCTCCAGTCAGTATCTTTATATTTTCTGCTTTGAGCAGTACCTGGAGTTACAGGATCAGTTTCATATTTGTAACAAGACAACTTAACATACCATGACAGTAAAGACATGTCCCCCGACTTGAAACACTAAATTTTCCCTTTCAAGAGGAAAAAAAAAAAAAAAAAAGAAAATAGGTCCCAGGAGACAACCTTTATAAAAAAGCCAGATCAGGCATCTACATAAGCACCACATAAAGCTTGGATGAGGAAAGAAAGCTGTAATTTACTGCATATGTATGAGACCGGACATGAAATCTGCGACAGCAAAATGCGGAGATGATTTCCTGCAGATCCCAATATCACAAACTTGACAAAGAGAAGCAAACCAAGCATATAACACTATGCCCTGAGTGAGGAAGTGTCATCCTCTGGTGTTTGTAAATAACCCTGAAAAAGACATTTTGCTATATAAACAGATCTCTTTTCCAGTATGGGCTCAGTCTATGAAGAAAGCAGGATTCAACTTTTAAGCTCCTTGTAATTCAAGATACTGTAAAGACACAGATGTTTTAAATAAGAGGTCTAAGGTTGGGGTGTCAACTGAGGAAGTCCAAACAGAAGCGTTCTCATGCTGGTGCCACATCCTTTTACACACCGATCTGCTTTGTAGGATTTGCTAGGCTTGACTCTTTTCATTTTCACATTAGTTCTACAAACAGCAAGAAAGCTGAGGTCAAATGAAGCATGTACTAGCTGAAAATTATTTGTCCCAGCACATTTGGTGTTACAGCAAAATTTCTTTGGAAGAGGAGAGGGCAAAATGTTATTCTCCCTGCAAAATACCACCCAGACCCTATTAACCCCACAAAGTGTGAAGTTACCTTTTGTTCAATTCGGTAATTTGGTAAGGAGAATGGGCAATATAAATATCATTAAGGACAGTTCAGACGTACAGAACAAAGACGTTCTGCCTTGGAAAGGATTCTTGGATACCTCATTCTAGGTCTCTGCTACTGTAACCGGCCTGAAACCCCTTTCATAAATGTACTCATCTTTAGGCTAGATCTTTTATCCCACTACTCATCCTGACTGTTCAACACCCTTCTCTGATCCTTACCTATTCTGAATATCCAGTCTAACCTTATGTGGGTCTGGTCTGTACCCACGTGTTTTCACATGAGTGCTGTCCTTTACTTCAATAGCACATGTTCTGTGTAGGGTTTATGAGCAGCAGTCATCTCTCATCTCCAAAGCATGTCTGGGTAGTTAAACAAGTCAAGTTCCCCAACAAGATGACTTTGGAAATGGGTCAAGAGAGTCCCACACAACGCTGGTCATGTGCTGAGCTGCGCAGATGAAGCAGCCTGGGACTAGTCTTGTTAGCACGGTGTACAGACTAACAAGCTTTGACTCCCCATGTGGTACTACACGAGATGTTTTGATGAAGTCTAAGTAGATTGGATCTATCACAATCTCTTTTGTCTAGAAAAATCAGTTATCTTTTCTAAGGAAGTTAGTTAATCTGGCAAAAATTCACCTCTTAAATGAAAATTCCATTTTTTCATGCTGTCCTTCACCTCGTCTGGAATTACTTTTTCATGCCTATGTACACCTAATGCATATTGTTTCAAGGCTAGAATATCAAGCTTGCAGCTACCTAGTGACTTTTCTTTTCTATATCTCACAGAGGTACCTTAAGTGAATTTATCCTCATTCAATGCCTTTGAAAAATGCTCTCAGGCTATACAACAGAACTCCCTTAACACTCACAAAATAATGCCAGTTTAAAGACTCCACACGGAAGGTTTATTGCCTCTTCTGAGGGAAAAACGTAATCTTTCTATTTAACAAGTAAATCTCTACTCTGCTCCACCCCAAAACTGTCAGCATCAGTTTTCTGTCATTACTGTTGTTATTTTGGGAATAATAATTGCAAAGAAAACAAGCTGTTTCATCCACTGACTGGCATCTGCTGCTTTCCCCTCTGAGCCAGTACGCTGTGTCCATCCATAGGTATTACACAGGCACCAGGCCTTCTTTCTAGGATGAAAATTTTGTGTTATCTGAAAAGCTAGAAGATTCACCTTCATTGTCACAGCTGGCAGAAAAACCTTCACATCTACCCAGTCTACCTTAAAGAGAATATTTTTTTCTCTCACCCAAGTAATGTAGTTCAACACTGGCATCCTGTGGCCAGAGAGTCAAGTAACTGTATTCCAAAACCTCTGAGACCACAGAAAATGCCAAAAATCTCCTGGGTTTGATAAGGGAAAATTTCCTAGCTCCTAAATGTCAAGGCTGAGAAATAATAAACAGAAAAAAAACCCAACTATTTAAGAGAATGTCCTTTTGCATACAACTGTTTTCATTTGTACCAGAGCTTTCTACCTATTCCCAGGACATTGCAAATAATTTATAACTTTATGGATATAAAATTAAGACAACCAGAGTGTACTAGCCTTAACTTTCCAGCATGAATTGAGAGGGAAATTCATAGATCCTACAACGTATAGAATATACCTGTGTAACCTATATTTATAGAGACAAAATACATATAAAATGTTATAGTATAACAAGATACATTCTTTTATTGTAAGCAGCTCGTTTTAAATCACCCCTTAAGACCGAAGCACAGAAAACAGTATGTATCTGTGATTCAGCACCTATACAAATAAACTATTTATGGGTTGAGATTTTCTTTTGTAGCAGAAGATATTTTCTTTCAGTTTTGTTTAATAAATTATCTGTCATTCCTCAAATATTTTGCCTATTTTCTTGGTTCATGTTTTGAAAATTTCTTCCATTTAAAAAAAAAAGAATGGGTAGTTTTTATAAATGATACTGACTTCCTTCTAACTGAAATGCTCCAAATAATCCTTCTCCAACACATCAGAACTTCCACAGATGATATCAAAAACTTTCAGAAATGGTATAAAAATGATTCTGAGTGTATTTCAGGTGTGAAATACTACAGCCAAATCACACAGAAGTCGTTTTTAGTGAAGAACAGGAACAATTTCCACAGAGGTGTGTCAGGCACAGTATATTTTGCTATAATTTTGTCAGGAGCCACCGCTAAGGACAATATCCCCATACCAAGCCTGCCTGAGCCTGTCCCATTCTCCTCAGTGGTCCACAGACACATGGTCTCAGAAGGGAGCACCAAGCCCACTCTGCCATCACAACTGTGATGTTTAAGTTTTCAAACTGATTCTCCTAGGACGGTAATTGTTAGTGGCCTCTATTAGTGTAGGCCAACAGCCAGGGGAGGGAGGTGGGTGATTTGAAAGGAATCAGATATCTGTAGGGGAGAGAGGGAGGGAGGGAGGGGAGGAGGGACAGGAGGGAAAGCATCCACTCATTTCAAGTCAATCATTAGCTGAAGAGCAGGCTTGCTGTAAACGTATCTCATTAGTTAGCAGACATTGATTGTAACTGGCAGAGCAGTGCTACAGCATGCGCCGAAAAGGAACTTGCATTGTCATCCCCAGCTCAGAGCGGCTGAGAGGATCGATTGGAAGGATTTCACAACTGGGGAGCCCTGAGAAATTCCCAGAGTCAGCACAAAGGAGAGGAGTCCCACTGGGACTTACCTAGGATCTTTCTGAACCACTTTGGCTTCTTGTCCCATACAATAAAGAGGTAGTAGGCAGGAACTCCCGTCAGGGTTATTGCAAATCCAATCCCTGTATTCACTGGATCAGAGTAAAGTGACAGTGCAACCATGAAAAGGCAGGTGAAGGAAAACAACGCTGGAATAAAGAGAGGCACCTGAAACATAACCACACAAAGAACCATTACTTTACACTGAGCTTGTTATTGAATGACTATGGCGTTTAATGTTCCATGAAGCATAAATTGGATAAAACCCAGCAGTATGGTATAATTCTGGAGAAATATGGTTATCTAGAACTTGTACACAAAATGTTAGTGACTGCAGAAAACAGGCTATGCAGACTGCTATGCAGTGAGTACCACAGAATTCTCTTAATTACACACTAAAACAGTACAGTGTTTTACGTCTCTTAAAACGTAAGGGCTGTAAATAAGTTACACTCTTTCTCTAATCCCCCAGCAGATAAGTAAGCAGCACTAACAGTAAAGATTTCCTCTTTGATAATTGCCTATTAGGAAACATTTTAAAACACAACCAGGAGCTCAAGTCACCTTTTAAAACTATTAAGAACATATTGATTTTCTTCCTAAGGTAAAAATCAAAATCTAGCAGGAAGAGAGCAAATTAAACACCAATTTGACTAGTGATAAAGATATTTGATAGCATTATGCAACTGATAGCTACTGAAAAAGCACTTTCTGACTGTATGACTGATAGCATTATCAGTGGCACTGTTGAAAGTACAAAAAATAACAATTTCAAATTAATTCTCAATTTTCAAAAACAATCACTATGTGAGCACCTCTCTGAAGGGAACGCCTACAGGCTCGGCTTGCGAGATGTTTGGTGTAACAGAGAATTGAAGAATTCCTTGGAGATTATTCTCTTCCTTTCATGCCTTGAAGCATTACTGTTCCTCTTTTGTGCACTGTCAAAGCATTTTTTTTAAATCAAAGCAAAATAGGTTGTGCTGTTGACCTTCTTATTTACAGATATACCTACAAGAATGCAACAGCGCACATTCTTAGTTCTTCACAGAATAGGCTTCTTGGAAATATATAAATAGGGATAGATTCCTCCCTTTTTTTCATGATGGATGTTATCTTTCCAGATACACAATGGAACAACTTACTTTGTAAGACGTTACTTAAAATAAGCAAGAAGAATGGCAGAACCAAGGCCAAAACAGCTACTGTTCAATGGGCCAGCCTGTTAGCATTTTCTTTCTGGGTTCAAAGTAACTGTGTCTGCAAATCCATTGCAGGCCCCAAGTATCGTAATAATAGCACAAACAACTTATCTGCACATCAAATCAGCATATTCTATATTGGATAGGCAATGAAATAAATGTTTAATATTAATGCTTACGCTTGACATGAATTCTGGTTGGAAAATTTTTCAGACCTTTATCAAAGGGGACATTAAAAAGTAGAGGACTGGCTGAAAAGGAGGTTGGCACATGTAACCCCAATATTTGCAATCTGAACCCTCTTTGACTACACAAGACTAGAGGTATTTTCACACAGCTTGCATCACAGTGCCTCAGCACGACAGACAGGCAAAACTGAGCAAACACCTTCACTTTGGCACAGAAGCTTCAGTCACTGGCCCCCAAGCACCGGAGAAGAGGCAAGAATTATCTTTCGGAAGGGAACACAGCTGGCATAGCACTGGGGAGCTTGCAGAAAAACACTTGGACACCCTTCAGTGCAAAAGACTGTTTTCTATTAACTCTGCTTTTCTTGAAAAAGAGGTTAGCTTTCTACATCAGAAAATGTTCCTTTACTGTCTGACTACACAATAGATAGGAAGGAGAAGGATTCATGTAAAACAGTAGAGAGCGGAGGTTACCTTGAAAGGACGAGGCATATCAGGACGTTTATATCTGAGATAAATCAACCCAGCAACTACTAGTCCAATAAAAAGCCACCTGGCAAAACTGAGGAAATTCAGGAGGCTGTAGAGATCCCCATTGAATAACATTATCATTGTGAGAGGATGCTGCAAAAGAAATTCGGAGCGTAAGAGGGATTTAGTGGATTGATCTCTATTATTGTACAGCAGTGATGTCAAATTTTTCCACAGGGACAAGCAGTACAGCCTTTTGCAGAGACACCTGAGGGCCACAGACTTTGGGCCTGCCTTTTTCATGCAATCAGATGTGTGATCAATACCTGTCTGTCCCCTGAGATCATGTTTGATCGATATATATCTGTCCCAGGTGGCCACACGCGATCGATACATATCTATCCCCTATGACCCAGACAAATACACAGGCACCACCAAAATGCTTGAGTATCCCGGGCGCCGTTCTCTCAGGACCTGACAAATATACTAGCCCACTGCAGTTTTTCTTGCTCATCACTGATGCAAAGGCCAAATTAAAATAAATTTTGGTCACATCTGATCATATGAAAATGGAGGTTTCTAGGTGTCTTGTGGAAGGATAAAGTCTTATAGTCCCCCAGGCTGGAACAGGGGAGCTCAGCAGAGAGGGGATGGTAAGGGGTAGATACACAGCATGGGATGCCACCTGGGCACACCCAGTTGCCACCAGCTTGTGTTTGCAGTATGGCTTTCAGGCTTGCAGGGTGTAGATTTATTGCACTTCAGAAATGCAAACGTTTCTAAGCAGAGAGGAGCATTGAGCTGTCACTCAGGTGGCTACTGAACAGCAAGGAGGAAAGGGGACACTAGAATAAATGCATTACTTCATTAAAAAGCTGTTCTGAGATACATCACTTCTGCGAGGCAGGCAAAAGCTTATGTATAAACTAGAGTGTTCCACCTTGGGTTAGATGATTAGCGTAGGCTACAGGGATCTATTTCAGGATAATCTCTGGACAAAAGCAGAGTATTTGTGGCTTGGATCAACTCTGCAGGCAAGTCCATAATTCCCACATGAGACACCTTCTTGCCAGCATTGACACAGTCCTTGTGTTTGGGGATGGGTGAAGTCCCTGGCAGTGACGGCCTCTCTAGGTTTATAACAAGGCAAGAGGTGAAGTCAACTGCAGATGCAGTAAAATGCTGGGCTATATCTTTATGTAAGAAAAACTAATTTGTACTAGTTATCTAAACTCACAGCCTTTTTTTTTTTTCTTAAACAGTGAAGACAGCATGGATTTGAACCAGAAGGATCAATATTTCAAATATGGGTCTCTGGCTTCCAACCTCTAATACCTTACAAAGTGCTTGGTTCTTTACACACAGATATTAAGCAAACTCCTTCTTTGTAAAGGTCAAAGGAAATTTTACCACTGAATTATATTGGGCAAGATTTCTTCTATATAGACTCAGTCCCTAAACATTTAAAATCTCAGTTATAAACATGGCAATTGAAAAAAAGGCAATGAACAGGGAAGGAAAGCTATCAAGGAAAAAAAAAAAAACATGGTTACAATCACATTGCATGATTTCTTGGAGCTGCTACACACACATCTATCAAATACCAAGACATATGTACAGAAACAGATTTTTTAATTCCTAAAAATGCATTTTAATTTAACAAGCCTCAAGACTGAACACGGTCATTTTCTCAGTTTATTCTCAAGAGCTCTTTCCTTTCTTACAGTGTATAGACCTTGGCAGAAGAAATAAAATATGAAAATACTAAAATGCAGACTATTGATGCAGAATATATTCTGAAACTAATATAGTTGAGTAAGGTAAAAAAACCAACCAACCAAAAAAACAAAACAAAACAAAACAAAACAAAACCCAAAACAGTCTCTGAAAGAAAGCCATCTTCATACGAGAATCTGACTTTTTCAAAGGAAATCAATGCACTTGTGTAACAGGACCAGATGCAATAGCAAAAAAATGTCTTTTAGGAAAAAAAAAAAACAAACAAAACAAAACATTTTGTCCATTTCATTCCACAGAAAACAGTCAATGCAGTTTACCTGAAAGGTATGACTATTTCAGCCCAAAGAAGTAAAATGCAAAGGAAATTCTTATGTAAAACGAATTCCATTAAAACTTTTCACCATAATCACATTGTCTAATTTTCAATAGTTGGAAGCCTACGGTTGTATGTACATATATAAAATTCAACACTTCAGGTGGCACTTCAGAAGTGAGCTTATAGGCATCTATAGCAAAAACTGATTTAAATTCCAGTACAAGCATCTGATCTTACTAGCATGGACTCATAGATGTACATGCATCTCCTGCTGCGGCCAGCACTCCCCACAGATGCAGAGGTCTGTCCAGATGCATTACAGTCATTGGTCCCAAAAGAGGGGCTGAACACCCACAGTTATGAAGACAAGTGGAAATCATCTTGGCACTATGCAACTGAGGTTTGAGGTCAGTATTATGACATTTTGTCCTCACATTTTACCATACAAATTAGTCCAGAACGCAAACACATGGCCAACATTTAGTTCTGCTGCTATTTTAGAAGTCAGTAATAGGATTTCCACTATAATACTGGTGTTTTTCCTTAGACAATTCACAGACTGTTGCCCAGGCACACGTTCTCTCATTTTTTAATCACTGCTACACTGCACTGCTGAGGGTTCCCCTTCCATTATCTTAGTACATAATTGTTTGCATTTTTCACTATAAGGTGGTATAATGAGCCTTTAGGGTGCTCCCAGATGCTGGTGTTTAGCTACACTTTCAGTTAAATGAATCCCATTTTTGTTTGTTTGTTTAACTGGATTTTGTTTCTCTGAAAGGGAACTAGCTCATCACTAGCAGGTCCTTCGAAATAAAGGGCAATAAGACATGAATTAGGTTGCAGCAGTAGGCAGTCAAGTGCTACTGACAGGATAGCAAGGAGGAGATGATAGAATAAGAACAACTCCCAAATCTCATTCCTCTCTTTACTGTCCTCTGCCCTGCCCAAAGTCCACATACACATTAATAAATGAGACTCAAGCAGTGCCCAAATTCTGTTCGAATCCTCCAGAGCAAGCCTGTAATATGAATTCTTCTGCAGGAACATTTGTTTGTATGATTTACCAAAACAATGACAGCTGGCAGAGGAGTGTGCTTGCGGACATGAATCATGGAGAGAATTTCCGGAAGGTGACCCTCGCGGGATGCAACGAAGAACATCCTGGTGGGAAATAAATGTGGACAGACTTTAAATGTGCTCATTACTGTGACTAGGCAAAGCGGCTCATGAAAGTCACAGAGCACAGCAGCACTTCTTAGGCTTGTTTGAGGTATTCTGAATGAAAAGACTAGCAGGAGAAGCCCATACACAGAAATCAAAGTAATCTCTGAAGGTGTCCTCTTCTCACCTTACACTATGATTGGTGTTTGGAATTAATTAATATTTTCCCTCCTATTATTTCCCTCCTTCACATGAAACACAACAGCCATTAATTAAGTGCTATGCTCAGAGGGATCCATTTCCAAACCATTCAAAGGGTTTTAAGAATAAGATGCTAAACTCAACAGGAACAAAGTAAGAAAAAGCCCCACACCTGGTAAACATTATAGTCATTTTTCATTTCCTGCTAAAGGAATGAATCCTACTCTCCCTTCCCCTTGCTTCCTTACTTTCAGCGTATACCCCATGTGCCTCACCCAGTGGAGTATAAGCAATGCTCACCTGGAGACCGCAAAAATGCCACCATTCATAGATCCAAAGCAGGAGAGAGCAACAAATACCGGTACAGCTAAAGAGAAGTTTCCCATTAGTCGTTCAGCAAAGGTCTGTTAGAGGAGAGAGAAACATACAATGATTTTTCATAAAACGTTAAAGTAATTTTACACTCTTAACAAATTTTATTTATACCTCTTTTCTGAATCCCTCACTGGAAGTTGTGCTGTGCATTTGTTACCTCTTACTTCATAACACCAAGGCTACCGCAGGTGAGGTCTCTCACCCTTACTCCTAACTGCGTGTGGAAGATTGCCAGTTGAAGCAATGCTGTGAGGGTGGGATCAGGCCCTGATTTATGTCAGTTTAGACCAGTGTGACTCCAAAAAAGAAGACCCATTCTGAGTGGATCAAGGTCTGATCTGCTTACCTAATATTTTTTTTCTGCACCCTTCATTTTACTCAGCTGACGCTACCCAGTGGTATGGTCCATCCATTCACACTTTATTGTTCTAGGTTACCAGAAGAGCCTTAATTTGGAGTTTGAGGCACCACAGGAGACTTGCACAGCTTTCTTCAGAAAAATGTTTTGCTTCTAAATCTCCCATGAGCTACAGAATTTGATCGTTTTTAAAATGCCACGTCAATTGAAATAGCCACAGGCACTGTCACTACTGGAAAGTAAATGGAAATTTTGATTTCCTCATTTTGAGTCAGATACCATAAATATAAAAATCATTGTCATCACCACAATTCAGCAAGAACAATCAAAGCACTATTTCCAAGCCAGGTTGCCTTGCAACTCCTTCCCAAATGAACTCCCGTATTCACAGCAACCCCCTTCCTAAATACTCTGGACGCACCTCGTGCAGACACAGTGTTACTGCTTCTTGCTATAAAAAAAAAAAAAATAGTTCAGAGCTCCCACTTCCACTAATATCTGTGTTTCCTGCTTCCTAGGAGTTTGGCCTACAATTTAACACAATTTTTCAAGCATGTACTTGGCTATGAAATTTAAGTCCTATTGACTTTGTTACATCAGGTAAATAAATACAGTCTAACATTCGTTACAAATGTCATCGATGGCCTTAAGTGCAATCCCACTCATCAGTCAAAAATTTCACCGGGATGCTATTATGGGATATAAAAGAGGAGCCATAGAAAAGCCTGATGGGACATGTCCCCTGATTTTTTTCCCCTGGAAATAAGAATGTATCAACAAACACAACTGCAGCAGGGACATAGCTTTGTATTTTTCTTCTGTAACTTACCACTGCTACAGCTTTTGAAAGCAGCAATTCCCCAGCACTGATTGTAGTGAAATAAGCCACGTTTGTTAACACATAGCCAACTGTGACGATAATCATTGAAATGCATATTGCGAGGGGTATGTTTCTGAAATACACAAGGTAGCTCATTATTTTGCAATCTGGTTGCTATTCCCTGAACATGAAACAAATAACATGAGAAGAAGCCACTAATGATACTGAATGCACATTTGGTGATCCTGCAATATCATAATTAGAAACTACCAGTAAAAAATAACACATCTAAACAAAGCCATCTACACAAAACAAATAGGTTTATAATGAAGAGGTGAGAAACCATTAGAGGGAGGAGTCCTCTGGGGACACCACGAGGTTGTAGTCCCCATGCTTCCCATACAAGAAGTATGGCCCATTTGAGCTGCCTACCCATATCGACTTTCAAGCCGAGCCCAACAGGAAGGCAGCAGGTATCAGTGCTTCCACCAGCAGTAAGGCAGATGACAGATGCAGGTGATCCAGCTCTCTGTCTAGCAGGAAAGCAATCACAGTGGCATCTCCAACATACCTACTGGCACTCAATGACTGCACACCTGGAGGTGGTGTGACATCTTCCCCTGGATGCCAAAACGTCTAGCATGTGAAATTCTGCTTTTTCTTCCTCTGTGCATATATTCCCTTGCACACCTTAACATATCCCAATTATGTCTCTCACTATTCAGTGACACGAGGGCAGAAAATGACACAGAAAATAGGAACAGCACAAATACTACTGAACAGTAGAAAATCCCTGACGCCTTCGCTAAAAGACAGAACAATTGCACACAAATAAATAACACTGAACTTCTATAACATGTCCTCCCAGTCAGCAAAACAGAAAAGCAGAATTATTTCTATTTTAAAGAAGAGACACCGTGTATTTGCCCGAAGCCATGCTGCAGGCAAATGTTCAAGTTAGGAATGAAACCCAGATGCTTCAAGCGTTACTCTAGTCTCTTTACGCTTGATATCATTGCTTGATATCATTGATATCTGTACCGCACCAAGAGGAGACTCAGATCTGAAACCAGTGTTTGGTCCTTTAATTCCAAGGCCAAGAGTTGCAGTTGGAAAGATGCAGTACGTGCGCTCCCTCTGAGAGCTGAGAACTCCTGCTTCATGGCCAGCTCGCTCCAGCTATCTATATTAAGATCGCTTTTGAAGAGATGGAGAGGTTGCCATATTTAGAGAACTTCATTGTGAAGGTCAACCCCTCAGGTGGGAGAAAGGAGAGACGGAACGAGGAATTCTGGTGTACCAGAAGAAACCACAAGCAGAGTCCTAAAGGACTATTGCAATTACCTCAAAGGAAAAGGTGCTTTGAAAACCAACAGAAAGATCCATTATTTTCTGATATTTTTCTCTAAAGAAACACAGCTGGTTTAGGCTGTAAGAATCGTCTTTACTACCAGTCCTTATTTCTCAAAGAAATCCTTGACATCAGTATGCCTGTATAGAGCTGAAAAGAAGCTCACACTGAGACTAAATAAATAAATAAATCAGGACAGTACCGCTGTTGCACATCTTGCCCACCTTAGAAGCCACGGTGTCAAATACTGTCCTTAACCCACACACAGGTAGGTAAGAGGATCGTGCCATATCGCAGCACCAGATCTGGGCAGACATGATGATACTTCCTTAATCCACTGCTACCTCACACACCTGGCCACTGGTGAAGAAGCTGGAAGGAGGGGAGTCAGTTTAGAGGATGTGCTTGTTGATGGAGAAGGCAACAGCAAGGACCAGAGCAAACAGCTCAGAATATAAGCGATGTTACTAACTTAAGTACTGCAGAACTGCATGTTGATAATACATCTCTGCAAAAAATGTTTTTGTAGCTGTTGCCTGATATTTTGCAACCAGCATAGTTAAGCTTCTTACCTGACCTGTGTGTAAATTTAATTCAATCCACTTAGCATCTCATTCAAGGTAGGGATACATGGTTTCAGAGCATCTCAGAGCAGAGATTTTAATTATATCTCCTGCATCACAGATGAATGCTTCAACCACCAAGCTATTGGATAAATCAACATTTACTACAACCTTAACAAAAATGTTTCCAGCCAAAAATAGCAAATTTGAACTATTTTTACAAATACCATTTGTATGACTGAAACCACACTGTTAAACTTAACAAACTATCTTTGTCCATTCTAACATCTGCTTGCTGTATTCTCTTCTAATTTAAATCCCAGTCCAATTTCCTCTCAAACAAAATGGCATTTCAAAACTGAGGGGAAAAATAAATCATGCTTCCAAACATGACCATTTTCTTAACACCGCATGTCCTGCTTTGTTATGCTGAAGAGCACTAACCCCCTTGGATAGTAATACCAACAAAAACAAAACCAAAATCAAAAACTCAGGAGAAGAATAAAACCCAAAAAAACAAGCCAGAGCTAGTCAGCAAGCAGCATTCATTAAAAAGTCCACAGATCATAACTCACGCCTGGAGCAGCACAAAGGGACGCTGTGACTTCTAAGCTCCCGAGTCCTCATCTTCTGAGCGAAGCGAGCACTCAGGTCGTGTTTCCTTTTGTCTCCCGACAGGAGCAGGCCTTCAGAGGGCTGCCGCACGCTCACACACAGCCCCTCCGAGTGCTGCTTATTAGCCACTGCTTTCGGTGACAGATTTAGACAAAAATGAAAGGCCAGTTTCAAGATTTCAGGGACGAGTAATACAGTACGGTTCATTTCTCACTGACACCTCAGTTCAGATTTACACTTGGTCCTCGAATCATCTGAAAGCACAGACAGACAGGTACGAACCATATGTAAAACCTCTAAGTGAGAGTTTTAATCATGCCTTTTCTATCCATCCAATTTAAGAGGCAGTTCCCAATTTGCAACAGGATCCCATTATCAAACTCTCTGCTATGAACGACAGTCACTGCACTGGAATCAAAACTGTAATGCCATTACTAATAAAGATTACCTCCTTTCCTTGGAGGATCACTGTACCAATTTTCTTGTATTTTAGATATTTTCCTAGACTTCTAAATCTTCTCTCCAAATCAGGAAAAAAATCATACCTCAGTTCTGTTCTCTATTAAATTGCCTCTATCGATGCAGATTTCACCTTTTCATTTCTGCATACTATGAATCAAACACAACACAGGGTATTAGCACATCAATAAGCCATGTTTCTGATATAATGCAAATTCACCACTAGCTGTCATACAGCTAGCTGCAAGTTTTCAAGTAGAGGGAGTCAGAAAATTCAAGAAAAAAAATTTTTTCACTTTAAGATTTTGATTTATTGAAGCTAAAACTTCTGATAGGAAAACTGACCATTGTTATGATATTTCTTAGAAGAAAAAAGTCTTAGAACCAGTGTTGTCCAAGAGGTAAAGACCTCAGAAAGGCCAATGGCTTAAAAACCATAGCACTGTGCATGCTGATATGGGAGAGTGCAATATTTCACTTGCTTAAAGCAGGCCCAGGACTTGAACTTGCACTTAAGTGGCTACTGGTTACTGTAGGGCAGTGCTTTCCTTTTGCATTTCACCTCAGAGTGAAACCTCAACAGATTTCAAAATCAGGAAAAATTATTTTCAAATCAGCTGTTTTTCTGAGTAGACCTTGAAGTGCTGATGTTAGCCTCAAGCCTATACAATGATCTGGAAGTGTCTCATGCATTACTGCAAAGACAATATTCAAGCAGGACGTTCCTTGGGTAGAAGGGAAAGCTGCTGCCAGGAAAGTTCTTTTCAATATTCATCTCTTCTCCCAGAACTTTGAAGAAAATAAGTATTAAAAGGAAAAAAAAAAATGAGGAAACCTGAATCAGGAAAATATTGGCAATATAATTAAAAAGTCTTTATATAATCAGATGAAAGACAGTTAGGGTGCCCTCTAAGCATCTGAATGTTGATTAAAATTGAATTGAATCTCCACACATTTTAAGATTTACCCATCCCTAGCTACTGTTCAAAGCCAAATCTTCCCCTTCTGCCCTATATCCAAAGCAATTATAATGAAAAATCACAACAGCTTAAACAAAGAGCACATCTACCTTGTGCTTCCCAGAAAAAGACTAACTGAGGAGTCTACCATCAGAGAAATTCGGCATTAGGAATACAGCTAGCCCATCCTGTGGCTAGATGGGGCTGAAATGCATTGCCAAGCTATACTACATATGGCTTGGCAGCAAATTTCCTCTTTCTAGAGCCTGTTAAGGAGCCTGGAGCTAGGGCACAGGGTTCAGTTAATCAGGATATCCACTGGGTTTTGGATTTGACCTTCAGTGTTGCAGAATCATAGATCTTCTGATAATCTGTTCTGGTACCTCCTACAAATATTTTTGAGGAGAAAAAAAAACAAAAACAAAAACAAAAACAAAAACCAAACGCAGAGCACACCAGAGTGGTAGAAAAAAGGGAAAGAAAGCCAAAGTGAGAACCGCGGGATAAGAACAACAATGTCAATAAATCAGCCAAGGAACATTCCCAGAAGTCTACAGCTCATATCCCAGCTTAATGACAACTTTTATAACAGCAAACAGTAAGCGCTAAGAGCTGTGACCGCTGCGGGCTGTTCTTTCTATGAAACAACAAGCACACAGTCAAATAGGCCCCACCATGTCAGCTGAGTTCACAAGTATGAAACACATTGTCACCACATCCTTTGTTGTGCAGAGGCCATGCCAAAATCGTTTCCTTGCGTCCTTTCAAAGACAGGTTTTACAAATGCTCAGTCTGAGCAACTGTTCTGGAAAAAGCTGCACCAGTGGGACCCAGCCAGGAAACATAAATAAGGTGGTCTATACAAATACATTAATTACTGGTTAGGTGAGATAAGCTACATCTTTACTGTGCTATGGAAATGACGAAAGATATGTTACATTTAAATAAATTAAAAAAAAAAAAATTAAACAAAAGGGGAAAAAAGTAAAAAGAAGGGGAAGAGTCCTAAACATGGTTTCCAGGCAAGGATTTATTTGGTTTTCATGAGCACGAGCCCGTATATGCTATATTTCTTGAGCTGAAAATTTACTACCATGGGAGTTTCAAGATCCTTTCAAAAGTTCCCTTGTGCAATAATTTATTCACCATTTGCAATCTGTTAAGCAATTTTCCAAATGAACTGTTT